CCCACTTCCGTCACTTGGCGAACTGTCATTCCGTTCGTACTTGGCGAACTGTGTGTATACCATCGAAAGCTGGCAAGTGTTCAGTTTTTAATTCTAGCTCACGAATTCGGTACGTATAAAAAAGAATTGAAGTTTAAGAACGAATTGGGATGTTGATGGATTAGTTATTCGAGGAAGGGGTCATTCATGAACATCTGGTAACAGTTGCTGGAGGAAGATTGCTGAAAATGCGTTTGAATGAAATGTGTCGAGAAGAAAGGATTCGTGTGATGCGTCAAGAATTAGATCGATTCATGGTTTCGTTGAAACCGAGTATAAGTCAAAGTTTCAATCCTCAACTCCAGAACAACCTCATCGAAAGTCTTTTGGATGGAACGGTCTTTCAAATTGTTGATTCCCTCAGGGATCTGCAAGAAATGAACGAAAAGTTGGTTGTTTATTACGTCATTTTTCTGTGAAATTTTGATAAATTTCTCGAAAATAATTAAATCTTACATCTGTTTTCATGTTACGCTTCCGCATCATTTACAGCGTTTTTGCTTAAAACGATATCTCATAACTTCATCGCATGCCTAAATCGAATTTTACTTAATCGTATCGTTTCTACTATTGTTTATATAAACGATTTTTCCATTGTTTATATATTTTCATTGAAAATCTTTGAATTATTCAGATGTACTACCAAAAACTTCAGATGTTCATTCTCTTATTATCTCCTCAGTTCATTTTCTTATACAAAACCAACGCCTCCAATAGTGGTGATTCTGAAGAAGTAGTACACAAATAATTCCAGTTCAATCAAAGGAATGCCCAGAACATAACCGTACGAAAGTGCTGATTTTTTTGGAACGAGCCATTTTGCAGACAGTTATATGCAGATCGACAAAAACGACTGGCCGAACTTCAGTTGGTGCCAGATTTAGATGAACAAATGAAAAGAATTGATATGAATATTGTTTGCGAACTGGATAAGGTGCTTACAATATTTTATTTCTTTCAGTTGTGTTTTATTCTTACGACGTCAGTTTTTTTCAGGATTTGAAGTGAGTAGTTGTGCATCTTCAAGCACACATAATTGAAAAAAGCTATTTTCAGATAATGGCCCAACAACAGAACGTGCTTTCACGTGCTGGAGTGCCGGCGTTTAGAGTGACGAATAATCCGAATGAAATCACTTTGCAAATGGAAATTATCCGATTTATATTGACTTTGACTTCGACTTATTCTTAATTCTCTTTGTTGATATCTTTTTTGCCCTATCACTCTGATCGATCTGTGAATTGTGTTTTTATTGTATTTATTCGCCGTGTAAATTGTCGTTGTATTTCACTGTCTATATGTGATATAAATTGTATTGGAGTATAAATGAAAGCAATACGAAAAATTCAACGCTCTCCTCCGATCAAGTTATCTGCATGTTTTGAAAATGAAATGTCGTACAAGTTGAAGGGTTAAAATCAAAAGATGTAACGGATTATTTTTGATCTTTTAATAGGTTACTTGTTACTAGCACATCGAGCGGTTGTTCTGTTGGTCGCTGTGAGCGATCGGTGGAATATTTATTTTGTAGAGTGATGATTATTTATTGGATTGGTATTTGGCTGCGTTTAATTATGCGAAGTATTCATGGCAACTAATTAAATACTCGGTTGTGTTCACTTGGCCTGCTCGCCTAGCCAGCGGGGTGGCGCCATTCAAGGCTAAAACAATGTGCACGGAAACGCGAGCATTGTGGCCAGCAACGTTACAAATGTTTGATAGCCTGGCCAATTCAGGTAAATAATGGTGAAGCGGAGTACGTATAGTCGGTCAAGGCGAATTAATATGAAACGGATTGGAACATTATACTTTGCTCGGATACTTCATTCAAGAATTTTACCGGAGCATCACTGGTCAATGTATAAATAATCTAGGATTAAAATTTGATTAATTCATGAATCCATAGTTGTGAGTTCGAACTTGCGCATGTCACTATAAAAAGGTGGAATGAGACGATTTATAGGCACACTTTTGTTTCATATTTGAGCACAACTCATCGAGGTGATTTGGATGGAAGTACGTATATTAAACGTGCAACTGAAACTGCAATTGTTTCCATCGAATTTTCAAAAATCCAAAACACTGTTGTACTTCTCCGACCCGTTGAGCATGATATAGCGGTATCGAGACATTTCGATTTGCAGTGCGATGCAGCGAGTTTTAATGAACCATAAGAACCATTAGAACTGCATTTTTGAAATAAGCTGACCTGAGCTTAAGTTAGAGCTTAGGCTAAGTTACGTTGTAATACTAATTGTAAGTATTTGGCAACCGATACAACGAATAATAGAGTGGGTGACGTTTATCGTTTAGCTGCAATGGTTAGCTATTTCAAAAACAAAAATTGCACGTTGAAGGCTGAAGAATTGCTCGATGACGGTAACATGGTTCGCTGTTGGTTTTGGGCACTGAGTATGGTAGACGTTTCGTATGTGACGAAAGAGAAGTCGAAAAGGTTTTAATCAAGTTAAATTGATTCAATAATTTCAGTTGGGGGGTCATCGATTCAATGTTTGCAAGTGTTAGAGTTAATGTGCATGCTTTTTCGTTCGTGATTGTCGTGATTTTCTTTATAATTATGGTTTTTAATGCTTTGTCATAAGGTCGACTTCCTCCTGTTTCTTGACAGCATTCATTTCGTGCATTTGCCATGCCGTAAGCAATTTGATATGGCGCTTTGCTCAGTGCGGAAAGGTTTCTGTGTTGGTTTTGAATCTTGATTGTTCTTCTGCAGTTTGTTCCAATGAATAACAACACTGATCCATTTTCGTTTTCTTTTTTCCATCTTTTGCGATCGAAATGTTCTAGCTGTTTAGCAGGCGGGCACTGCTAGACGAGGTGGTGATTATTCCTGATTTGTATCTTCATTTTTTATCGTAACAAATTGAATGTGCGCATTTTCTCCGTTTCGGTTGTTGGGTATATCATTGAAATGTTATGTTGCTATGCAATTAGAAGCAAATTTATAAATGTCAAAACGTTCGGTGCTGGATGAAAGGAATGTGCGCAGATTGAAACGCCACTTAATCGTTGAACTTTGGTGGAATTGTTTTCAGGGTGAATATGGGTTTAGTGGACAGACCAATTATAATTGATGGGAAAGATCATTTATTGGGTCGTTTAGCGTCAACTATCGCAAAGCAGCTGTTGTTGGGACAGAAAGTTGTTGTTGTGAGATGTGAAGCAATCGTAATATCTGGCAATTTCCATCGATCCAAACTGAAGTATTTAAGCTTTTTGCGTAAGCGATGTAATGTGAAACCAGCCCGAGGACCCTACCATCTTCGTGCACCAAGTCGTATCTTATGGCGAACGGTCAGAGGTATGTTACCACATAAGACGTATCGTGGTAAGAATGCCCTGATGAGACTAAAAACATTCGATGGTATTCCTCAACCATATGACCGTGTTCAGCGTATGGTACATCCGTCATCGATGCGTCATATGGCTTTGAAACCACGCCGAAAACACTGCACTGGTCGGTCTTTTATAACGTTTCCATTCTTTTGATGTTCATTTCAGTGTTTTGTTCGGATGACCGGAGTTTATATTTATATTATTCGTCGTATTGTCAATTCATAATGTCTTTCTTCTTCAGTTGTTTGACTTATTGCGGTTGATTCATTCGCCGTTTTGTGAGATTTTGCCTTAGCAGGTGCTTAACAGTGATGGGATGTGAGTTGGAACGTTCACGCTGAAACAGTTCAATTAGTTTTGAAGCATTGAATTCACGAAATGGATTGCGCGATAGTGATACTCACCTTCAGTTGTGATCGCAAACTAAAGCTCCGAATCGAAGCCGTTCGAAACCAGTTGTAATTTTAAGTTATTAATTGCAGTCGGACGTTTGGCACATGAAGTTGGCTGGCAGTACAAAGATGTTGTCGAGAAGCTCGAGACGAGACGCAAGGTGAAGAGTGCGGCATTCTATGAGCACAAGAAAGCGATGAATAAATTGCGTTTGAAGGCTTTGGAAACGGCCAAGAACAAAGCGTCACTTTTGCAGAAGATTATTGAATCGTACGGATATGAATGAGTGAACAGTTGAGAATTGTTTTGTTACGTTATGTTAAAGATATGATTTGATACTGTTTTTGTTGTATAACAAATGAAACATTGTCATAAAATTTGTTTTTTGTTTTTGTTCACTCCTCGTTGCATCATTCATTATTTTTCATTTACTCTACAATCGTTTTATCAAACTTTTGCGCTCTTGAATCGCATACCTCGGGAACGATTCCTTTTACTCATTCACACTCATGGACGACTTTTGAGTTCGTTCCTTCCAAATATTCGAAGTCAAGATTGATAAAGCGGCTGGATAGCCGTGTCTGAATCCGAATTACGCTTAGTTGAGGAAGATACTTGGCAGATAGGTTCATAAGGAAGGAAGGCAGTGTATGGAGTTCTGTTAACGATCAACATTAAGCAGTATTCGGCCCAATAAATTCATTTATGCATGATAAATTTGGAATCACATCAAAAGCTTAATGGAACAGGCGAATTAAGCAGTAAAAGAAGGTGGCTGTATCATTTATGATCAATGTTAAGTGTTAATATTATCGTCAGTTTGTCGTGGAAAATTGTTCTGAGGTCGTCGTTCATATTCATGTAAGATGGTTCGAATCATTTCCTGAATAGTTCGGAATGACAAGTGTGAGAACAAGATGAGATGTATTTACGTAATGTTCACTATGAATCAGTGTAAGTTTCTATCAGTGATGAGCGCAAAACTGATACGGAATTTCCGAAAGTATACAAATTGCGAATGATGATGATCGCTAGTGAATCTTTGTGATGAATAGAGAAAGGAGGAAGAATTGCGTGTGAATTCGTTGACAATGAGATTGTTCACGTCAGAAAAATACGGCGAAGATAGTCTGGTCGCATTGCTTGATGAAAGTATTCAATGGATCATGTTGTTGGGCATTCAACTCTGATCGCTGCATTTTAGATGATCTCAGAGCTGAATGCAATCCTAGAGAGTAGTAGGTCATCATCGTCAACATATGATATGATCTCAATAAAGAATGAAGGTTCAAGTTCGTCGAGTTTCTTGTTATTTCATTTTATTGCTGAATCCATCAAAAAGAACTCAAGATTGGTGTTCGTAACGAGTGTTAAAAGTGAACGGGCGTACAGGTCAGTTGCATTGCTGCCGTTGTCAATTTCATTTATCCGTTTCAATTGCGATCACTTACATCATTTTCCATTTCAAGCTAGTCGATCGCAGTTCATTAATAATTTCAGCTTCTCGATAACGTGAATCGTATTTTGAATCTTGTTTAACAAACGTTCACCACATGAGTCGATAATGATGAATGCTCGATTATGAATCAGTTTTAAGCAACAATACTGCAATTTAAGGAGTCAACCAACTTTTTTTTTTGAAACCTTAAATCCAAAATTCCATCTCGCAGTCACGTTGAATCCGGACTGAGTTCTCTCGTCAGTGATATGTTCATGTTCAGAAAGTTTAAACTTTGAAGGATAATCGCTAGTAAGGCAATGATACGACTGAATGATAACATCCGTTTCATATCACTGAGCGAATTCCTCCCAACTGATCTGAATATACCGAACGAGAAAGTATTCTTGCGTAGTCTCCATGAGGTCTGTAA